TAAGTTGCAATAAGATTTTCCTTAAACTCACGTAATGCCTGTTTAAATATTCTATCAACTTGTGATGGTTTTTTAACTTCTTCTCGTTCAATTTTGTACAACTGAAATATGATCAAAATATAAAAATTAAATTTATATTACCTACCTAACAAGATCCAAACTTTAAAATTAATACAAATTTTCCTAATAAAAAACAAAATTTGAACATTGTAAAGTTCAAGTATACAGAAGTTATAATTTATTATGTATCCTATTGTGACCTACAAGTAAAGATCAATAATGACTATTATTAAATAGTGACCTATCTAATAACTTACTAAAACAAAAATATATATTGATATTATAAAAAACAACCGTTAAACATTGAACTTGATATTAGCTGTACATTTGTAAGATCCACGGGTATGACTGACATCCTCTCAACTCTTGAGTATAAAATATTGTCAAAATTCAGGAGTTAATCAAAAGACTTAATAAAAAATCTGTGCCTAGTATCATTTTATAATATTTTTTAACTGTAACATAGGAATAAAAAATATTCAAACTTTCATTGAGTAGATCAGGGACGAATACAGGCCTAGAGATTTTCACTATGGGCCCTAACTATTGATGGCTCCAAGGCACAGGTAAGTACTAAGTTTAGTATTTGTGAGTCGTGTAGTATGCTACCTAACGTTACTTCGCTGGTGAAGTATGTTACCTACCATAAAATGCAACCTACCAAAAAACTTTACAGGTTTTTACCAAATTTTACCTACTGATTATTAATTAATAACAATTTATTAAGAGGGCGTCACACCCACATGTGTTGTCTCCATCTTAGAATTGTACAACACATCAAAAACCGTTTTGCGAGGGACAATTTTACTCCCACTTATTACCAAAATTCCACAATGCACAGGGACGAACTTTATCCCTGTCGTGGTGTTTTCATTTTTCAAACAAAAAATTAAAATTATACATAGTTAACTCATATATTCCATCTTTAAATAATGTAATAAGTATAAAATATCGGTGTGATTCAAGGAGGGGGGAGGTGACTGTAAAATACGATCAATGGGCAGAGCACGGGCTCCATGTGCGCCCCCCCCCCCCGTTAAGTACGCATCTTGTTGAACTAATTAGTAATTGTTGAAAAACTACAAAAGTATTGAAAAATATAATATAATATACAAATTATCGTTATTAACTTATAAGTCAATATCGACGTGGCGTTGAATGGTATGAAAAGGTTCAAGGTATAATATTATCAAAAAATAATTTTTTTTAAGTTTCTAAGATTATTATTTTTTGAATTACAGCAAAATAACTAAAATCGTTATTTTACATTAAAATTATATCAAATTTCATCAAAATAGATATAAGAATCGGGTGATCGTGTGACTGAAACATAGCACGCAACTCGATATTTTATACTTCGAAGAATATTTATGAATTATAAATATGTAAAAGGTCCCCACACACTGCAGCGGTGACGTTAAATTCTATTGTTTTCGCTTTATCGCCACGGTGAGCGGTGAAATGTGTCCTGTAGCAGTTTTATAGTTTTCGTGGTTCGACACTTTAAACCTAAGTGGCTAAGTATGAAATTTAAGTTTAAGTTGTCATTAATGTAATTATTCAAATTTTGAATTCGTAGTTGCAGTTTTCATATTTTTTTTGGCAAACTTTTCCACGTTATTAAAAAATACGAGAATACGGAGGATTTTATACTTTTTTTTACCCCTAACTCCTTAGTATCAACTAAATACAATTTACTAGAAACAGTGTTGAATATTGAAGTTTAAATATTTTCTGTTTAAAACCCTGACATCAGCCACAAAAAATACAATAGGAGAAAAATAGGTCACAACTCTATTGTACATAGTTAGTACACAGTATCATAGGCGTAACTAGGGTTAAAATTGTGGGAGGGCTAACAACACTATTTATTTAAAATAACCCAGAGGGGACTTAGGTATATCTAAATCAATAAGACATTTTTTTTTTTTTTTGGGGGGGGGCTAAGCCCCCCTAGCTGAGCCAATTCACAGTATAGGTGTAGAGTGTATACCTCGTCGTTAATAAGTAGTAAGTCATGTTATGTAAGTGTTAAATTGGAATTCAATGATAAATAAATAATAATTGCATACGAATAATGTACGAAAAAAGACCGCTAGCCTATACTACAAAATATATATTATTAGAAATTTTTTTCATACTTTTTTTTTTTTTTTTTATTGATCCTTAAGCCCGTCTTTTGTGACCATTAGCTGTTTGTAGGGTTGTATTGTGGTGGTGGTAGGGTTTGGAATGGTAGGTTTTTACACGTGAGTGTTTGTGTTTAGCAGAATTTTTGATTGGCCACCCGTAGGTATCTGCCATGCCCGGGTGGGGGATGGCGGCACTTGTTCTCCGGACACCGTGACTTGCCCGAAGAAAAATGCTGCCCGGTGACCAAGGATCGAACCCGGATCGGCTGCGCCGCAGCCGACGCGTTGGACCGCTAGGCCACCTCGTCTCCCAATACGTTTTTTAATATTGAAATTTAAGCGCAATTTATTTAATTACATTTTTTTAAATTCCGAAAACATTATAATATTACTTATTAATATTTAATTGTTATTATTAATTTTTGAGTCTCAATAAATAACCGTAGAATGGTGTGAAATGTGAATAGGCTTGTGGTATAAATAGATAATAGGTTCAAATTAATCTATAAATACCTATAATGTTATCTAAGACTATCAAAATTATACTATCCTGTTAAACCAGACTACGGCTATTATCGCGACTACCACCCCAGACTACCTCCGTTATTGCGACTACCTATCTGCTATTATATCTGAACGATATCCATAAGCTGTGATTATATTTATTATATTTGTGGATTTACCATTTTGTATTATTATTATTATTATTATTTTATTAATTTATTGTTTTCCGTACTCCGCGGCAAATTTAGCACTTTGGCGTGTAACATGTAAAACACATTACGAATAATTACTAAGTATTTAAATGTTTTCTTTATTTCATTCTGGCCATCCCCACGACCCCACAATACATATTATTAAAAAATATATCAAAGAAGGCAAGAAAAATAAGGTAGTCTCGTATAACAGGAAGTACCATTTTGGTAATCTTAGATAACAGGATTGTGATGTTTCACAAAATAACCGCGGAAGTCACGATAACGGAGGTAGTCTTGGGTGGTAGTCGCGATAACAGCCGTAGTCTCGTATAACAGGAAAGTACCTATTTTGAAAATTATTTCATATATAGAAAATGCTAACATAATCATTTAACAACTATTTTATGTATCATCGGTCATTGTTTTTGTATTACAACAAAATAAGAAAATCGTTTGATAGACGATAATTGACTTTGAAAAATACTAGATATTATCCATTTGACCCCTCAAAAGTCAAAAGTAACAACTAGATCCAATTTGCTATCCAAAACCAGCCTCAGTTGAAGATCGAAGAATTTTTTCTACTATAAATCATGTATAGGTATATAAAAAACACGCATTGTAAAATCAATCAATACATTCATCGATCCGCTCAGAATTCATAACACTTATCATTGTTTAATAAACACATTTTTCGCTACACTTAGGTACTATCAGCTAATATACATAATTTTGCAAGGAAAAATACTAAAAAAACAAATTTAGGCTAAGATAAAATAGCCTGTAAAACTATAAATTAAATGCTCTTGAGTATAATAAAAAGAAGACATTCTAAAAAATAGGTAATTACTAAAATTATTAGGCAACTGAGTGAAAGTAGGCCACACATAAAACTTGAAAATTACATCCTTGGTTACGTCGACTAGACAAACTTTATCAATGCCACACTTTGAAAATTAATTTGATAAAATACTTTAAGCATATAATAATAAACTTAGGTATTTACTATTTAGACACTTTAATATAATAGTTTTCGTGTAAAATCAATTAAGTGGACGTGTTACCCGCATGTGTTGTCTCCGTCTTGTGCGTAACACAGAAAATTGTACACTCAGCAGAACACGTGTAAGATCATTATCTAAGCAACCTTATGGGCTTTTTAATACATTTTAATTTTAAGGCGAACTATGAGTATTTAAAAAGTAATTAAAATATGTAAAATCAATTTACAATTTTAAAATACTCATAACTCGCTTTAAAATAATAATAATATAAAGCCCATGAAGTTGCCTAAATTCAACTAGTAAATAAAATAATGGCTTAAAAATGAACTATTTTAACTACGAAAACGGATGTCCAACATTTGAACTTTGAACATAAAACATTTAATTATTTACAAAAACCGATAGTAATATTATATGATAAAAATCAATAGCTAAAGGAAAATACACGCAAACTAACCCTTTAGGATATTTTAAAATAACTATAATTATATACCTATTTTATATATAGGGTGATTCTTAACCTAATAATTTAATAAAACAATATTTTAGAATTGTTTGGAATTGGTAAGTATTAAACTTAATATTTCAATCGTTAGAACGGTTGATTTGTTTTATGACTATTTGTGATACATCAAACGAGTAGATAGCTTTTTTTGAGGGACCATAGATAATATTATATTAACTTGGGAAGGGTATCAAATAGTAAAAACCAATTATTATTACCTAATATTGAATAATTTATATTCATATGTACAGCTAATGCTCCATGTCTAATGTCCCATGCAGTTTAAAATGGTCCCTGTTTTAACGAGATTATAAATTTGTATTATATTTGTGATCCTTTATAAATAAATTTTAAACATTTTGAATGTAAGCATATAATTTACGAATAAAACAATGTAGGTCGTCGAATGATGGAGGGGGAAGTATAATTATCGGTCAAAAAGTTGAGGGTTATCGTTACTAGAAAAAACTGGCAGCACGGTAGTATATCAACAGTCAAAATTATTCTCATTCCTTGTTCGCAAGTTGCCTTGGTTAAACTATTTTTCAAAGTAATACACAATTTATTGACAGCAATAAGTGCGGCAATATATTTTTGTAAAATGTCAGATAATTCTACCATGGGACTATTTATGATATCAAATCCAGTGTTCGAATGTTATGCATTTTACGGAAGCATTCTTATTTTAAAAATGATTTTGATGTCTTTTCTAACAGTACTTCAGCGATTTCGAAAAAAAGTAAGATTTATTTACGTTTTTTTTTAGATATAGGTAAAAGTGTTTATATTCAATACTTAAATTTAATTATTTTAAATAAGTGTTCCATGTTGAAGTACCTCCGATGGGAGGCCTCTTCCTTCAGTCTCTTTTTTTGTTCTAATACAATTTAAGCATATTTTTCTAATTGTAACAGATAGCTTAATAAAGAATTTTGTTAAAAAAAAAAAAGATAAGTGTAAAAATAAAACATATTTAAATGTATATAAATTTCTGGTTTTTTCCTTTATAAATAGTAAATAAATAGAAAAGAAAGGATTAATTGGCGCAAATAGGGGGGGGGTAGGGAGTGGGTCCCGCCAATTCATTTTTAGCTGTATCTACTATCTACAAATTAATTTATATATATTTATAATAAGAAAGTCTCCAATTTCTAAATTTACATCTAATGGTCTGAACACTCAAAACTGATCATCATATCAAAAACGGTCTAATTTTATTGAAACGTACAGATTGATAAAATATATGAATATAAAAACGCGATAAGGATTTTGGAAATCTGTTTAGATTCTCAATTGTATGTTTTATATAGATCCTATTAACATTGTTTAACAAATTCAGACTTACAAGCCACTTACCAATATTTTTAAATTTACAAATTATTCAATAGTGAATTACGGTTTTTCGGTTAAAGAAATGCAAACATTTTTTCGTAAGATCCAAACTTAACATATTATTAAGACGTTGAAATTCGTTTTCAAGATCGCATCATAGGACCAAACGGCAGAATCAAAATTGATTAAAATGTTTAGCCTAAATACTACTTATTCAAAACTCCTAACAAACATAGCGTTTCAAATCCCCGACGCTAACAGTAGTCAGTTCCACATCATACTCATCATAGTATCCAATATATTATATTATACAGCCGTACCCAATAGCCGTACACATGCATGTATTGTCCGTTTCACTAACGTACGAAACGTTAGAGTGAATTTACCCATTATCAAATTTAAGGGTAAGAACATTAAGTGTGCTTTTTCAATATTTTAATTTTCAAGCGAGATATGAGTGTGTAAAATATTACAAATTGAAAATGCTCATATCTATCTTAGAAATTAAAATATCGAAAAATCCGACGCCTAAGAACAGAAAATGTTTTTACCTCAAACTTTGATAATACGTAAAATCACTCTTATTTTAAAACTAATAAAGTAATAAGTAATAACACAGTAACACACAGTCAATTCTGATGAACAACAATTTGGTATGCTGTGAGTTAGGTAAGTTTGAAAGACAGAGATAACACATATATGGATAGAGTGGCTCTTAAATACATTTTTATTTAAAAGTTCTCACACACTGCAGCGATAGTGGTAAAACAAGTCTGGACACAATATACTGCCACCACCAAGACAAAAGAATTTTACCGCCACCGCTGCAGTGTGGGGGACCTTTAATCGGGTTTGTCTACGTTCTACTGTTATACATTGAAATACTGTATATAAAATAGCTGCATAAATACTCTTACATGTCTTTTTTATTACATTTTTTAACCAATCCAAAAATCAAATTTTAAACTAAGAAATGTAAAAAAAATATTTATCCGAGTAATTATTATTGTATTTAATAGGTTTTCATAAGCCCAGAAGATACTGCAATTAGCAAAGGAGGCGGGGAAATTAGATATGATGATCCAGATGTAGAAAGAGTAAGAAGGTAAAATGATGAATGCACTGTTCTAAAAATAACTGATAATTATATATATAATCATTTTGAATATTAATTTTAGGGCACATTTAAATGATTTGGAAAATATACCTATATTTTTAATCACTGGATTACTTTTGGTTGCCAGCAAACCTCAAGAAATGATAGCGAACAACTTGTTTAGAATTTATACATTTGTACGAATAATGCATACAATTTCTTATGCTGTGTTTGTATTACCCCAACCTACAAGAGCAATATTTTTTATTGCAGGAGCAGTTATAAATATTATTATGGTAGCATTTGTTATCTTAAGTATGCATTATTTTTAATTTATTTACTTGTAAGCAACTTATTTTGTTCAGTGCACATAATTGACAATTTTAATATTACATAAATTATAAGAAAAATTTTAAATTAATATTTTAGGTATATATTATAGTATTATGTATTTTGTTTTTGTAAGGATTGTTGAATATATATCAACAACAATTAATATGTTATTCTAATTGAGATTTGACAAAAATTCACATAAATGCAACTCATCATTAATATTTTAATTTAAATATATACTATAAACAAAGCAACTGTGTAAAATAATTTATAATAGAGTATACACATGTGTTACAATTGATATATTATATTTATTAGGTCTATTAGTTTTACATTTATTGACCACAGTTTGCCATATCCAATTTTTTTAGTTACACCTAATAATATAATAATAGTCTTTGAATAAAAAATATAAACTAACCTTTTTGGTAATAAAATCTTGCATCATTTTAAGTTCACGCACGTCAGATATAATCTTGTCCGTGCGGTCCGTGAATTCTGATGTACCAGTTAAACTGAATTTTCCTATTGTAGTATTATTTTGATTATTTGCTATGTTCGGTGTTATATGTGCTTTAATGCCAGCAGGGGTAGGTTTCCTAGGTTTTCTTCTGTTGGTCGGTCGATTACATCCATTTTGTTGTATGCATGGCATTTGTAATACACCACCATTTTGAATACACTTTGTATGAAATAACTTTTTACAATCTAAAATATAATATAATAAATTGTTTATCAATAATTGTATAAGAAAATGGTACAAAAAAATCAAACCACTATATTAAAAAGTATGTATTGTAATATATTTTTTATTTTAATTTCACAATATAATATGCTTAGAAGTAGGGATTGGCATGACATACGAATATCTGAACTATCCAAATATCCGGATTTGAATCAAATTCTTGTTTGGATTTCCCAAATAATCCAGATTTATGGATTTGCTTTTTATGTGACTTGTAATTATTTTTAACATATAGTAAAATACATTTTTTTTTATTGTTATGAAAATGTTATAGAATTAAAGGCACACGTGTCGTATGCTATCTACCAAGGAAATCATATCTACAAAAATCTACGTATACGTGTCGTATGCTATCTACCAAACAAATGGATTTTATGACAACCCTTTGAATAAATGTTTGACAACCCTTTTTTACATCATAAAAATTTTGTTATAATAAAATCTCCTTTCACATCAAGTTTTCAGATTTTTTTAAAGTTTCTTTCATTCCACCATTACATTGATCTCCAATAGAATTTAACTTTGTGCACAGTTTTGTATTAGGTGATAAATCACAATGTTTATTGGAATATAAAAATGAGTCATTGATCAGCATATTCAGATTTTTGAAATCCGGATATGCCCACCACTACTTAGAAGAGATTCAGTAACATATAGGTCATCAAACTTATAGCGAAAGACGATACCGCTAACAAGAATGTTATGAACCCGTTTGAGATGGCGCTGAATATTTAAATAATGACAAAATAAAACAAAAAAATATAACAATTTGATTGGCTAGCTACTTATTGCTCTGTCTCACTTTTGTTCATGGACACACCTAGTAATATTAGGGCTCTTTAAGAACAGGTAAAGACAACCATCATTTTCTTTCCAATTGGAATTAATACAAATTATACAAATATTTATCAAAACAAGTAAGTCTATGAAAAATCGTTAATAATCGTTCAAATATATATTTTCCTACCTTTATTCATTAATTACCAAAATTCAATTTCTCAAATAAATTTAATAAATACATGACTAGCTATTATCATTTATCAGCTATGGAAAGAAAATGGCCACTGCCTTTACCCGTGTCTATTAGAGCCTTAATAATATTTAAACAAATAAAACATTTTAATGCAAAATAGTTTACTGTTAAATTATAATTTTAATGAGACATTTTGTTATTAAAAATTAATAATGCATTATAATAAAAATATTTGAATTACCTGAGCATTTGTGTCCTTGAGTTAAAAAGGCATCCATCAATTTATTACAATAAGTACATTTATCTTGAGGAGTAAATCTTCCTAATTTCCTAAACCGATGGCCAGCTATCGTAAACATGGTAGTCCCTTTCCATTCCAATAGTTCAAAAGATGGTGAATATGTTAATTTTGGTTCATCTGATTTTCCTGAGTGTGTGGTTGAACCATCGCTGTTTCTTCTTTTTAATTCTTTTTCATTTGTAATGGAATTGCTATTGAAAAGATAATATTTAAGGTTTTCATACAAAATAATATTATAAAATAAAATAGTTATGAGGATGTCAGCGCACCATTTGTTTTCTATCTATAACATAACAAATTTATGTTTAGCTGAACAAAATCTGTGTTGTTACTTTAATATTATTGTGAATTCGCCTATTATCAAACAATCTATATCCCCATTTCTCTTTTACAATATTTTAATTTTTACATTTATAAGTTTTTTGAAATTGTAATAATTTACACCCTAATAACTTAATTAAAATTTCATAAAATAGCCAACGTAGGGACACAGATAATGTTCTTAACTTAAAGTTTGATAATAGGTGAATTCACTCCAATATTAAAAGTAATAACACAGGATTGGTTCTGCTAAACTTAAATTTGCTAAGGTGAATGTGGGTCAGTGAGAGAAAACAAATAGTGCGCTGACATCGCTTAAGTTAAATCACAATAGCTCAACACTAAAAACTTTTTCTTAATTCTATGATAACAATTTATAATTGCAAGAAAATACAAAATTATGACTTAAAATCAAACACCTTTAAATAGTGCACATTCACATCATAATATACGGACACTCTCATGAATAAGAAACATTCACAGAAAAAAAAAACATTCCGGTTTGCGGTACACTCATTCCGTCAAACACATACATTTCAAATACCCAAGATATACCGAATTATGATACAAACATTAACATCCAGAAACCCACCTTAAACAAAAGCAGTCTATATTACCAAATTTATAAAAGTAACTGATCTGCGCCGACTGATTTAATAAAATCTTAACTCATTGACTACCAACTGTTTACATCATTTTGAGGTTCTCATCCCAATGCGTACATAAAACAATAGTGTCTAATAAAAAAAAAAACTGCTCTTATATGGTAATAATTTCAAACAGCATATGAATAGATTTTTAAAATATCTATTAAGCAAAGTAAATCTACGCCAAATGGCGTCAAAATACCCCAAGAGTGTCAATTGGCAATGGAATGCAATCAAGGTGTTAAATAATGTAAATAATATATTTTAATTGGTTAATAACTTCAAAATTGTTGTCATAAACATGTAAAAAAAATAACTGCCTTAAAAAACTAAAAGTATGAAGGTACTTGAACTGTCTGTTAGTCATTATATTACTATATTAGACATTGGGTAGTTGATATTTTACTAAATTCAAATATTTTTTATCTTACTCTGGTGCTGGTTCAGTATTGGATACACGAAGTCGTCCCAATAAACGGACTGGAGGATTCGGCTCGGAAGTAACATGAGGAGTTCTGGTCAATAAAGTACGTTTATTAGAATCACTGGTTCGTTCCCTTCGTCTCCAAACAACTGGTGGTTTCATATGAGTATCATCTAATTCACTATCACTAAACGCTGTTCCTTCATGAGTTGGACCATCAGTCTTGTGAAAACGTTCTATGAAGTTGAAATTTTTTTTATTTTATTTAAAACAAATTAAGATAGTAACAGTACCTACTTAAATACTAAAATTGTTACTAATAATACATTTTCATAATATGAATATAAATATTATACAACATAGATATAAGATAGCTAAATACTTAAACTCATCATGGTATACAAATACAATAGTAGGTACTAGGTATATAACACATATTATGTCATATAATACGATAAAATTATGAGGGAATGGAAAAATTTTTTGTTACAAACTAATAAATACAAAAGTATTTTGTTATTTGTTTTTGTAACAGTAAAAGTAAAATTAAAGAACTATTAGTACGATAAAGATGGTTTAGAATTAGAAACTATTCAACTAAAAATTGACAAATTTTAGAAATATCTATTATGTTGAAAATGAAATAGTTTAATCATTAATCAAGAAAAACAATAAAAAAATTATTCAAAATGTAATATATGTTCATTTAGAACACATATTTTATTTATTTTGGATTTAATTCAATAACATTTCACATTATAATTTTTTTTCGAAAAGTCTATAATGTATATTTGCATAACTTTTCTTTTTTTTTATTCAACAAAAATTTATATTTACAATCTGTATTTACAAGTAGTACAATAAGTAAATGGGATGTGGGTTGATTGGCGGGAGGGGAAGTCACCCAATGGTGGCACCCCGAGGATATCAATTTAAGGAGAGAGAAGGTCCCCTTTTCAGGCGCCTGGGTGGATTACCTGGGATTTGTTTGGATGATAGTTGAGTGATTATAGGATTTGAGTGAGTACTGTATGTTTGGTGTGTTCTTTTGTAGGTGATCATAGCAAGATTATTTAAGGTTGGAATGCAGATGTCTTTATGAAGTGATTCATTGGTTATATACCAGGGGGCACCTGGTAGACTTATAGACTGGAATTCCTGAATTGTTCTAGTATTTGACGGTTTGGCAGAACCCCAAAGTTGAATGCCATAGTACCACATGGGTCTTAAAAGAGCCATGTAGATTGTTCTTTTGGTTTTTAATGAGAGCTTTGAGCGGAGTAAGGGTCTAAGAAGGTGAAGTCTCAAATTGAGAGCTTTACGCTTGTTTTTTAAGTGGGAACTGGGGACCCCATTTAAGATGTTTGTCCAGAATTAAACCCAGGTATTTAGTTTGTGTGGAAGATGGGATTTGTGCATCTCCAATAAAGGTTGCGGGACTTTCCAAGGATTGAAGCGTGAATGCAACTTGAGAGGATTTTGATGGATTGACTTCAATTTTCCAGTCGTGAAACCAGGTGTTAAATTAAAATACTGATAATTTAATATCTATACCTTTATGTACATCAGTCGGGTGGGATTCTATTCT